ACCACACCCCCACCGCACACCCAGCGTTATTAATACACCGCCCACCATCGAGATCTACCCCCTCTCCCTACACGCCCCCCCCCCCCCCCCCCCCCCTAACAGAGGACCTGGAAGCAGTACAAATTGGAGGGCGACTAGTTTGCACTGCCTAGTGTGTGCCTTATTAACCCCTGACGCATTTAACTGGTATTAAACAGGCTGTATGATGGGGTGGGCCTAACCCCCGAGTTCAGTGATTTTAATATTTATGACACTCGATTAAATTAAAACCCGTGAAACATTCTGAAGTAATTTTAACGGTTTTAACTTGGCAGCTAAAGCAAACTGGAGCAACAGAGTTGTAGATGACCCTCCTCGTGTGTCGGTGTCTGGTCAACACTCAAAACAAAACAAAACGAACGCATTACTAATTTTTAACTAATTCCTGCCCCGTCAAAGTGTAAGCAGCTGGGGGAGGTCACGCTGCAGGTGTAACGAGAGCTCCTCTACAGCGGCCGTCCCGCAGTCGTAGCGAGTGCAAAGATCTAACGATGCGAGTCGATGGGTTCGTCGTGCCGACGCCCGTTTCACCTCGGAACACGTTCAGCGGTCATGACGTACGCATTACGTTGTATATCTGTTCATTATTTTGTACCTTTTTTATGAAGATGCTCTGCTTCAGACTGTCTCTTCATGGGTGAATTTCCAACGCTCAAGGCCATTCTAGGCAGTGCCCGCCACTAAAACCTTCTACACGTTTATTTTCCTTCTTTTCTTCGCGTGTTCGGACTTTTTTCATCAGCAGACGAGAAAAGCTGGGCTCTCGCAGTACGTGTTCTTTTTACTGTGATGAATTGGGGCGTTTCCTGAAGCTTTATAAGATTAAATGACATGATTATTATTTTTTAAAAGATGTTTCAGTGTATGTAGAGTGGAGAAGTGAGCCCGGCTCAATCCGCCTTTCCTCCAATTCAAAGCGACAAAAACAAAGACGGTATGCAAACTGGCAGCGGCAGGTTAGCACTCGGACTACTGCAGAGAGGAACAACCGAAGCTACCTCAGCGTAATTTATTTGATCTGTTTACTGAGTACAACAACAGTATTTGTCCTCCCCCTTCAAGACAACATACTGCTGCAACATCCACGTATCTTGGAGGTACCAGGTCAGTGCAACCAACAGTTGTTTATGTCTCACATGGTTTTGTTTGTTTGCATTTGAGCCAGATGATCGCGTAGAATTTAAAACGATGACACGGACTCTTTGTTACTTTACTATTTTAGTTTTGTTTTTGGTCACTTTTTTAAAAAACTGTAATGAATTTTTTGCCTCTACAAACCCACCGCCGCCTTCTCTGCATCTTTTCCCTCTTCGTTTCATCTCATCGTTCTATTTATGTAGAAAATTTCACAGTTAATATTGAATAAAGAGTTGTTTTTTTGTTGTTGAATGTTTTAAAATCCGGGAAGCATTACAAGTCCATTGGAGCAGTTTTTGCTGAATTGTGTAGCGTTTGTGTAGCAGGTTGATTCGGCGTTCGTCGGGGGGATTAAACGGTTTACAGTCTCAGGTTCAACACGGGACAGCATGCCCTTCCAACTTTTTCTATTTATTTTATTGTTCTGTCTTCTTTGAGTGGTTACAGAATGTGACATACTGGAAGAGACTGGTGTGAGGATATTGAAAACAGTTTAAAGAATCCCAGTGTATAAAAACAACCCAAACACATTTTCACTGTTCTTTTGCCAAAATCGTCACTTTTGAGTTTTTAACCGTCTGGACGTTAAATGTCCCACCATGTAGCCGGTTCAGACTAACAACCACTTTGTCTGCTAGTTTGGTTGCCCCCCCCTGAACTTTTTGTAGCTTTTGTCCGTTTTGCTCCTTTGTGTATTTTAAATACCTGTTCATAATATTTGAAATGAAACATTTACTGTATTTCTAAACAAACTGCTGTTGATATACTTGAATAAAAAGTTGCAAACTGTACATTTTGTGTACGTTTTTACCTTTTGATGTAAAGATACACAAAAAACAAACAAACGTGACAATGCATTTTGATTTTTTTATGTATTAGGGCTCATTAGTAACAATTGTTTCTCCTGTTTGGGTACAGATTTACAGACATTATTAATCCAGTCTATCAGATTTGTCTTTTTTTTCTTTTCTAAAAACATTTATACAGAATTGCTTTCAGGTTTAAAATATACATATTTCCTTCCTGTATTTACAGAATACAACGAAACGCACTGTATAAAGCAGAAAAGGGAGGGCTGATGAAAGACAGAATCAACAGAACATCTATGGTAACAGCCACAGGGTGAACATTGTGCTTTTTATCCAGAGAGGAGCTTTCCCAACTCGACGTCACCAGGAGGAGGGATCCCTCCCCCCCCTCTCCGTTTGTGGTGTATGTCCCAGAAAGTCACCGTGTTTGAGTGGGGGGGGAGAAAGAACTCCCACCGTTGCTCCAGATGATGTCACCATCCAACTGGAACTCCGTGATAATGAAGGAATGAGGATTTTCTCCCTTTAAATCTGATCCGACCTAAATTTGATCGTGTTCCTTCCTGTTTAACAAGATGTTAAAAGAACTAGGTCACACAGACTAAAAAAAAATCTGTTTTTAAAATTCCCTCATATAAATACACACAAGTTTTTCTTCCAGACCAAGCAGAGAGAGAGAAACCCAGTCCCATTTCTCTTAACGGCTCTTCCTGTTGTGTAAACTCCTGCTCTAACCTACAGCTGTCAAATGCAATTCACTCGAAGTGACAAAAAACACGGACCTGCGATGATCTGACTGTACCAAAGAGACGTAAAGTGGTGCGTTCACGGAGACTAGGAAAAAGGAGAACTGAAAAGAAGACTTCACTTGAAACCAGTTGGCTATGAGTGACGAAGGGTCCCTGTGCCTGTCAGATGAGAGGATGGACTACTACCATAACACGCACAGTACTGGAGGTTGGGCGTCGTCACCTGGCATGGCTGAGTAGCTGAACATGAGTACATTCTGCACAGGGTCTGGTTTGAGGGGGTGGGGTGGGGGTGTGGCTCGATGCTGGCGTCACTCCAAATGTCACCAACAGACGGACTGACCCAGCTCTAAGCTGCCGTCACGCATCGCTCAGCTAGTGTTTGGTCCGGTCCGAGCCGCCGTCAGCCGCTCTGGATGTACTTCTTAATGACCACGCAGCCGTGTCTGAAGAGAGGGCAGGGCAGAGACTGCAGGAGCGTCCACGTGTTGGTGCAGGGGTCGAACGTCTCCATGTTGCCGAGCGACGGACCTTCGCTGCTCACTATGCCTCCGGTGGCGTAGATCTTCCCGTCCAGGATGGCGGCGCTGCAAACAGAGTGACAGTGATGGTTTGGATCAGTGACGTTCAGAGGAAATGTCACGAACTATTCATTTCTCCTTCACTGAGCTCTCTGAGCGACGTCGGGCTAGTCTGAACAAAGCTTGGACCAAAACAGAACGTCATCAACCTAAAACAAGTCCCGTCTCAATCATCACGGTTCACACACATGCCGTTTTAAGACGTTACCACTGGTTTTGCATTACTTGGATTGTAGAAGGTCGTCTGGACCGTTACTAAATAACTGTCCACATAAAATGTATCACATGTCAGACTTGACATGCCAGAGAAATTGTGACCCAATAATGTTCTACTGTAGTCTTACAACCAATCAAGTTAAAGCAGTTCAATCAAATTCATTGTTTTACCTGTTAGTAGTGGACTGAGGAAGTAACTAGTGTTCTTTGTAGATCATAGAGTTGTGTGTAGTGATAAAATGATGTAACTGTTTATAAAACAGTATTTGCTTGAACCTGTGAAGTTGTTTTAGGATCGCAGCGATCCATCCACGAACTCAGAAATGAAGCTTTTCTCCAAACTGAGGCTGTTCAAAGAGCGTTGCACAACAACTAAAGAGTTTAGGTGACATGTCACCATGACTGAGGGTTATCATACAGCTGTGCCCTCCAAGTTGTGACTGCTCGTGGTGGTGCACAAAAACCTCTTTCTGCACCTCCACTGTGTGCTCAGCCCAACCATCCAACACCTGACTGCATGAACATCCTCACCGGCTTTAACAAGGTCCTTTACAGTCCAAGTGTACTGGACTTAATGAAGGGAGTCAACCTCTCTGAAGGAAAGCAAACTAATGCTTAAAGGAAATGGGTTTTTCTTTGTGTAACCACCAGCAAAGATGGAAAATTTAACAGAAGTCATCTCAGGACTCGGAACAGAAACATTCATAAATAATAAAAATAATTGAAAATGTTAGATTTGTTTAAAGGGATGGTTTGATCATTTTCATCCATGACTTCAGAACACAGTGGAGAAAAGGACAGACATCTTCATCCAGGTTACACAAATCCATGTGCGCTGGGCTCAGAGCGTGTACCGTCATTTCTGGACTATAAGCTGCTACTTTTTTCACACACTTGGAACACCACAGCTTATTCGATGCTGAAGCAGATTTATGGATTTTTTTTGACGGGCTTACGAGCTTCATGCAGCCGAAACATTTATTAGCCTTTTCACACGCAGGCGTTCACATAGCTGCACAATCCACGTCTCTATTGGAGGGTGGGTCCTCATGGCTCAATGTGACTACCTGTATAAATAAAAGTTCAAAAAGTAAAATAATCTGACCATTGAAATGACCAAACAGGTTACAGTGAACCAATGAAACCAAGTTTCATCAGTCCACTGGTGAGGGGCACAACAAAGTATTTGCAGCCACTCTAAATAAATGTGGGACTCTGAGCTCAATGGGACACTTGGATGACTGGTGGTGAGAAATCGTTTAGCAGAACTGGCTGCACGCAAAGAGCAACTTTTACTAAAGTACCAGTGGATCCTGACAGAGGAGCGGTGAAAAAAAAAAACATCTATCACCAAGAGTTTCGAAAGACAGCTGCATGATGAAGAGGACAGTGCACAGGAGGAAGATGAAGATGGCGATCAATGACTTCATGGTAGGCTACTGTATTATTTATTTATTTTTTATTATTAGCTGTGTTACAGGCATTGTTCTGAGAAAAAAACCAAAAACGGTATATATTTGTAAATGTTACCAGTACGTATTTAATCAAAAGTTTTTAAAAAATCTTTATGTGTAAATATCTCATGGACACCCACAGCTATATGCAGCATATGTTCAATTTTTCCCCCCATGGGTGTGGCTTATATTCAGGTGCGCTCAGTAGTCCGTAAATTACGGTAAATGTCCTGATGCTCCTGAATACATTGGTCTGCTTGGAGTTGTGTAAACTTTTGATAACGTAGTGTTCTTTCACACTTTGCTTCACATTCTCTGATTTCATGCTTGATAATGCTCTAACTATTTATAACTTTTTGACCCAACACAACTAAAAATGGCAGGACTACCCCTTTAAGACCTAGTGCTGCTTCACCCTACAGCTTTGTACTCGTGTAGCTTTGATCTTTCCTGTGAAACAGTCACGGTGAATATAAAAACGTTATTTTGACATTTAAAAGTACTTCTCTTATAAACACTTTGTTGGTTTATTCCTTTTGTTTGTAGAAGTTCCTCTAAAACTTCTGCTTTAATGAACGTTTGAGAAGCTGCTCAGAAAGCGTCAACGTGTCAAACTTTAACGTTAGAAATAAAGTTTGATGTTAGAAATAAAGTTTGATGTTTGAAATAGTGACGCTTTTCACTCCGACTGTCAGGAGGAAACAGAAGAGGCCGTCAGTGTCAGGGAGGTTCAGCTGCTGAGGCTTTGAAATGAGCTGAGTCTCAATCTGATGACAAACAGGCAGATTGTAGAGCTGAGCGAGGGGAGGGGGCTCAGCGTGGCCAACACTGTTAATGTGTGTGTGTGTGTGGGGGGGGGGGGGGGGAAACACACACGTATCACGTTCTCTGACTAATGACAAAGCAAATATCTGCACAAATGTGTCCATTTGATATGATAAACAGAAGCAGGAGTCTGTGCGTGCGGAAAGGATTAGAACTTTGGCTCGTAAGCTGATTAGAGCTTTGCTTCCTTCTTTTGGGGTTTAGAAACGATCTGCATTTTACATGAGGTGCACGCTTAGAACAAAACAAAGAACCAACACACACACACTTGGTCCTGCACTTCCAACGCGCTGTTGGCACTCGGGAAGATTATCACACAAAGCCTGAAGCTGCTCTCCTGCACGGTGACCTGCCAGCCTGCATCCTCAGCGCTGAACAGTTCACTCACACATTTCTGAGAGATCCTCTCTCTGTCCCCGTCCCCCCCCCCCCCCCCCCCCCCCCCAGTTGTGTCAGACTTGGTTAAATGTAGCAGAACAGCTGCCTGGTGTGTGCTGGTGCAGCTTATCAATAACTCTGACAACATGATTTATGCTGCACATTCTGCACATAAGATCACGTCTGTAATTGCCTCCCAAATGTATTTCATGCATCTTTTTCACACTCAAAGTCTGGAAAACAACAACAACAACAACAAAGGCCTGAAAACAGTTTATTATCCAGTGAACTGCACACCTCTGTGGCTAGGCTTGACTGGAACAGTCGGGCGTGATCCTGAAGCTGGGAATGTTCGTTTACGCTCCTGCACGAGCTCACAAACAGAGCAACAGCTAGAGGAGTTGGCTGCAGTTACTTTAGTGTTTTGGAACATAAAAACAGCCGCTAACAAAAATAAGATCAGCTAAATGTCACCGTCATCAACACAGACTAAAGGAAAATTGATTAAATCAAAGAGTCTGCGATTGAACAACGACCCCCCCCCCCCCCCCCCCAGCATGATGCTCAGCAGCACTACTGTTCAGGCAAATCAAAAAGAAAAATGAAGATCGTCCCATCGAGGGTGAAGTTTAGCTGCTGATCTGCATCTTTCGGCTGCTTTTCCTGTTTTAATTCAAACAAGAATTTTCTCTGCAACCTGTGGATGACTGACAGATGAATAATAAGCTTGACTTTGTTTGAGTTATTTATTTATTTATTGAAGCTTTGTGAAGATAATTTCTGTTTAGATCGGCTGCGTGTGAGCTTTAAAAATCTTTATCCCACGTTAGAGATGTTATCACATTTTATTATTCTAAGAATTTGTTTTTCTTCTTTACTTCATCCCGCAGTTTTGAAATGAATTAAATTATGATCAGAAGGATGCATCACGACTGGGAATGATCTATAGCTGTGCTTTGACTTGGTAGGGGTACGTCGCACAACATAAGCAAATTTAGCAAAAAAGAAAAGAAAGAGAAAATAAAGAATGGAGATCAATGGGATTTTGGCAAAAGACTGAGAAAACCCAGGACTCTTTGGAGCTCTACAGCAGAAACATCTTTAAAAATGTCAACGGGTTGGAGATCACATGACTGCACTGGTACTCTTAATACAGTGCTTCCCAACTCTGGTCCCTGAGGAACACCATCCTGCATGTTTTAGTAATTTCTCTGCTCCAGCACACCTGATTCAGTGATTTAATTACTTCCTGTAGTTCTGCAGAAGCCTGATAATCACCCATTTATTCAAATCAGGTGTGCTGGAGCAGAGAAGCAGGGTGGTGTTCCTCAGGGACCAGGGTTGGGAACCACTGCAAATACAACAGTTTACATCAAAAATAATATGATTGAGCAGATTTTTCCACAGAACATTCAACTGTCACTCACTTTTGAGCAGTCTGAGAATGTTCTAATCGTTTGCAAACTAATACTTGCGCTCATGTTTCTAGTACATAAACAAATTATACCTCAAAATGCAAGTATTTTTGTCCAGTGTGCTTCTTACCAATACAGGACTTGCATTTTTTCTTCAAACCCTCCCAGAATGCAGAGTACAGCTAAGCTTCCACAGATTTGGCTGTAACTCAAAATATTCAACAAAACTGAAAGTAAAGCCTTTTTAACTTATACCTCCTACATAAAACACAGTGCACACATGTAAACTCACACATGTAAACTCACACATGTAAACTCACACATGTGACCGTCACATACTTCTGCTGCTTTCTGATCAAGAATCTTCAAGCTCCAACTTGTAGTTTTTACACATCGACTGCTTTGAGTCTGCTTCTCATTTACTTTGACAGTCAGGGAGTGACAGACAGGTGTGTAGTTAGGGATGCATGTTGTTGGATTTTTGGCCAATATGTTAAAACTTATTTGGCCGATAACTGCTACAGATATTTTAATATACAGTACTTTCCTTTGTCAGAACATAGCCCTCTTATTTAGGATTATTTGCTACAAAAATTGTGCAACAGCTGTAAGAGCTGGTGACATATATTCAGTAACAGTCATATGATATACATAACTCTTTAACTTATATTAAATAAGTGTTAAATGTTATTTATTAGCATTAGTCACCTGTGATGTTGTCTCATTTGTGGAGGTTTGTTCCAGGTTCCTATAGCTGCAGTGTGGGATCCTCTGCACTCTTGTGCATGAAGGACAGCCTTTTTAAGTTCAAAGTTTTTCTATCCATTGTGCTGTTAGGCTAATCATGCTAACGGAGCTAACACAACGTGTGATGTCATCACGTTGTGCTGGTGCAGACATCCTTGTCACTGGGTTGTCATACAAAAACAGCGTCTTTTATATCGGTGAGTTATTTTGATGGAATGGCCGATATTGAACTTTAACGTTAATATCGGCCGATACGATACCGTGCCGATAATATCGTGCATCCTAGTGGTTACCACGGTGATCGTTCTTGTACTTCTACAGCTCACACATCAACAGGTAGGTGTTTGTTAGTTGAGTTGATTACACACTTGATGTTGCTGGGCAGTAGCTTCATGGACTCTCTTCAGATGATCTTTTCTGTGGTCGTGCTCCATTAATAATCTCTTACCTGCAGAACTGCCGAGAGTGGTTCATGTTGGGCCCGGCCTTGATGTTGCCTTTGTCCGGGTCATAGATGGTGGTGGCTCGAGCGTAGGCCCCTCCCAGGATGAATATATAGCCGTTTAGACTCACAGCAGGAGCGTATTTGTTATCTAAAGATATGAGGAGGCAGAGAGAGAAAAGAGGAGTGATTTTTTTTTTTTTTTTGTGCCTTTTACTTTTTTAGAGAAAACACAGTGCCATTGTTTGGATGTCATTCTCTCACACAGCAGACATTTCCATTAAGTTTAATGGCATCAATTTGTTCTTTTTCTTTTCCCTCCTCCACGTCTGGTCCCTGTGCTGAATGAAGAAACAATCATCATCAACATTCTCCTTATCACTCTACAGATATGCCCCTTTCAAGATAGGTTTTTAAAAAAACAAAACAGATTGGATACCTATAGAGAAGAAGAAAGTGAGGCTCATAAATCACACAGGCTTTATTGGGTTCTCGTCCAAAATATGTTTGGGCTTGGAAGCAATATAGAAGAGTTACCCAAGTCCTAATAATTCTGAATTGCATTAGGCCCACTGGCACTTCCATAGATTTATACAAGGAAGAAAGACCAGAGAAAGCACAATGCATGTGTATTTGGCAACACACAAGTGAACAGGTGGGATAAATGGTTACTGTGGATATTGTATAATTCAGTGTGGGACGGTATGGAGGAAAAACACAAAGCAGGCCCCGCTGCAGTTACAGATGACAGGGACAATATGAAGCAGAGGTTTGAGCCCAACGACGCTGCTGGAAACCTGGAGCTCGCCAGCAACTAGTCCCCCCCTCCCCCCCCCCCCCCCCCCGCAGGGGGTGAGGGTTGTTTCTCTCGAGCGCCTCTGCAGCTGGCCAATTTACAAGCAGCATGAATAATGCACAGACACTTGGCCGTGCTCCGCCACAACGGACCGACATCCCTCATCAGCAAACAGACAGCAGGAGGAGTTACGTCTTCATGACAGTGAAGGCAGCGAAGGAAGTGGGAACGGCCCCCCTCCCCCCATCTCCCTCCTTTCCTGCACCTTGCCCCAGCTGCCGAGCGCAGTCTGACATGTTTAATTAACAGGTCAGCTCCGGAGGTCGGAGTTCCTCTGTGATTACTGCACGAGAGGCTCTGTTTGCTCCCATCAATGCTATGAACTTTCACTAATTGCACCGTGCCATCATCCTCACGTGAAGGAAAAAAAAAAGGCAATCATGCTGATGTTGTGCAGATGTTTACATTGTGCCCACCACCTTACTGTTAGCATGGTAACATTTGCCAATTAGTGCTTGTCAAAGTCTTACGGAGGCAGCTGTGTTATTAGCTTCAGAAGCCAAAGAGCAGGACGTGATGATGCACAGATCATTCATACAGTTCATCCCTGCAGGCTTTTGTTGAGTCCAGCACTTAAATTATTTAACTGAAGTCATGATGGTAATAAAAGGAAAGGGATTCATTCCTCAGAGGCTCAATTGTGTTTCTGAAATTTAAACTCAAACCACTGAGCTCCTGACCTGATTCCAGTGTTGTGGCTATGAGGGACGTTCCTCACAGTTCTTAACATCTTCAGCCGTAAAGAACGCATTCAACTCAGAGTTTAACTCCTTACTGGGTCATTGCACGTGTACTTTTACTAACCTCATCAAGTATTTATTAGTTTATTTTTTTTAAATCACGGCTTTATTTCAGTCTGAATCCTGAAGCTGCAGGTCTGAGCCCAGGTTTGCTCAGGGTCATACGCTGTAAAACTAACGGCCACATCTTTCTTGCGGGTTTGCTTAATGTGGCACCTCCTGCAGGTGAGAGCAGCCACAAGATAAAACAAGTATTTTTATATGGTTTCACTACAACAGAAAGGCTTTAAAGGCTAGTTCAGCTGTTTTGAAAGGGAGTTTTGCTGTAAACTTATAAACAGTTACCTGCTGTGGATTGTTCTTTAAACCGCCTCAGTTTGGAGAAATACTTTATATTAGCGATGCACGAAATTATCGGCATGGTATCGGCCGATATTAGCGTTAAAGTTCAATATCGGACATTCCATCAAAATAACTCACCGATATAAAAGACGCTGTTTTTGTATGACAACCCAGTGACAAGTATGTCTGCAGCAACAGCACAACTTGATGACATCACGTGCTCCTACCTGATCTCACGGTGGAGAGGAAAATTCAAAATGTCTTGGTGTGGAAGGTTTATTTTCATTGGTGAGGACGTCCGATTCTGAAGATTTATGGATTACGTTGAGCTCTCAGTCAGAGATATTTTTCTGACGTAACGTTACCCCAGTTACAAGCCGTCATTTCCGACGTCATTGAGAAGCTAACAGCTGATAGCGCTTGGGTGAGTTTTACCACAGACATTTGGAAGTCAAGTGTTAGCCCCGTTAGCATGATTAGTCTAACAGCACAATGGATAGACAACAACTTTGAACTTAAAAAGTCTGTCCTTCATGCACAGGAGTGCAGAGGATCCCACAATGCAGCTATAGGAACCTGGAACAAGCCTCCACAACTGAGACATCGCAGGTGTCTAATGCTAATAAATAATATTTAACACTTTTCATTTAATATAAGTTAGTTATGTATATCATATGGCTGTTACTGAAGATATGTCACCAGCTCTTACAGCTGTTGCACAATTTTTGTAGCAAATAATCCTAAATAAGAGGACTATGTTCTGACAAAAGAAAGTATATAAAATATCGGTTATTGGCCAAATAAGTTTTAACATATCGGCTTATCAGATATCAGCCAAAAATCCAATATCGTGCATCCCTACTTTATATTTGACCTGATCGACAAGCTAACAGCTAACAGCTAGTCTGAAAAAGATCAAAGTGTTGTCTTAAAACAACTTCAATATCAAAGGTTTTTTCACATTATCATCAATATTGATTATGCAATACAAGTTTATCTGGCAGAAATTTCCGATATTACAACCTTCTGGCTGCACAGGAAGGACTACAGCTAGCTGCTGCTGCTGCAACTATTTGCTCTTGTAAATAACTTCATGGGGCTGTTTAAAAATGGCAGCAATAAACTTTGATCTTGGCAGCACTTGAAAACTTTTTGCTCATGAACCTGGTCAGGATTAAATTCTCATTTCTCCAAAGTGAGGATGTTCAAAGAGCTATCTACAACAGGCAAGATATTGTTTAACATTTTCTCCCCAGAACTTCACTTCAAAAGTTCTGAGCTATTTTTTAGTACACTTTTCTACTTGTAGACTGTTTGCTGATGGATCTGACTGATTTCACACAATCACTGGAATCCAGTCCACCAAATGACAGGAAGTGACAATTAAAGGACTCACAGCGGATGGTATGGAGCAATCTGCAGGAAGGTGTCCTTAAAGCAAAGCAGCCTTTAACATTAACCAGTGAAATGCATCAGGGCTGGTTAACTCTTCATCTGTGTGTGGAGATAGAGAGAAACTTTATAGACTAGCAGAGACATGCTGGAAGAAAAATGGCTTCCACATGAGCAAACCCTTGGGAGCAGGCCAATGCAACAAGCAGCTTTGTCCAGACTACACTGTGGGTCAGCTGTGCTTAAGCTCCCCATGCATGGCCATGTAATCCATCCATAGCCCTCCAAGTCTTGCAGTAAAACAGTTAATGTTTTTCTAAGATAGCTGTAGGGAACCTTTCAGAACAGTGAGAGAGATGGATGCAGACAATATACAGCATTCTGAGTGAAAAACATTTTCCACTGCGTTTCAGCTCCCACACTGGGGGTTAAAGTTCACATCTGAACCAAGAGGATTTGGAGGAAAGCTGCACAAAAGGCCTGAAGTGGTGCAAGCAGAGTCTGAGTGTGAACTTGATAAAGTTTCTCTGGAAAGACGTGAACTAATCCATGTACCCAACCTGATAGTGTCTTTACATTTCAGAAGGATTCTGAACAACAGTCTTTGAGCTGCCTCGGACCGTTCATAAATCATTAGTGGCGGGTTTGGTTTGGTTTAGGTTTATTTGTAATTTGCAGATCAACAACGCAATGAAATGCTCAGGACGAGAAGAACTGTCTTGACTCGTCAAAAAACAACAAGAAATACCAAAAAATACAAAGCAAGGTGCCAAAAGTAAAAAAGAAATACATCTACAGCAGCATGGTCCTATTAGCAGAGTGGTTCTGTTGGCACTCAGTGAGATTCTCTTAGCAACATGGTCCCATTAGCACCATGGTACTGTTAGCACCATGGTTCTGTTAGCACCATGGTTCTGTTAGCAGTGTAGTTCTGTTAGCAGTGAGGTTCTCTAGCACCATGGTTCTGTTAGCAGTGTAGTTCTGTTAGCAGTGAGGTTCTCTAGCAACATGGTCCTGTTAGCACCATGGTCCTGTTAGCAACATGGTCCTGTTAGCACCATGGTTCTGTTAGCAGTGTAGTTCTGTTAGCAGTGTAGTTCTGTTAGCAGTGAGGTTCTCTAGCAACATGGTCCTGTTAGCACCATGGTTTGTTAGCAGTGTAGTTCTGTTAGCAGTGTAGTTCTGTTAGCAGTGTAGTTCTGTTAGCAGTGTAGTTCTGTTAGCAGTGAGGTTCTCTAGCAACATGGTCCTGTTAGCACCATGGTTCTGTTAGCACCATGGTCCTGTTAGCACCATGGTCCTGTTAGCACCATGGTTCTGTTAGCAGTGTGGTCTTGTTGGCACCATGATGATAATAATGACTGTGGCAATGGACGATGACTACTGTCCAGAACCAGATCCAGCAGACACAGAATATCCACAGTTTCCCCGTGGAACCAAACTGTTCCGTAGAGTCTGGTCCGTGCAGGCAGGTGGAGAATCATGGAGTTGGCCGCCATGACAGGCCAGAGTCTGAGCCCGAGGCTGGAAGGGGGCCGAGAACTGAACCACGATGTCAAGGCAGCGACACACAAAACTCCACAAGTGTGTCGAGGTCATACCCGTAGTGTGGGTGTGCAGTGTAGGTGTACAAAAAGTTAAAACAACAACAAAAAAAAAAAAACAGAGTCGAAGCGGCCCCCGTTTTTTTTCAAACCCCCCCCCCCCCCCCATGTGCCTCGATCCATTCAGAAACCACACAGAGACAGCTAGAAGGTGTCTCTGTCTCAGCTAGAATTGTTTTGTAGAAGTGCCTAATTTGTGTCTTTTTGAAGAACTGTG